TCATCAAGATTTCTAACGATTTCTCAAGGATTTTATCGAGATTTCTGTAGGTTTCCCAAGAATTTCATCAAGATTTATAAAGGTTTCTCAAGGATTTCATCAAAGTTTCTAAAGATTTTCCAAGGATTGAATCGAAATTTTGTACAGATTTCACCAGGATATTATCAAAATTTCTAAAGATTGCACCAAGATGTCATCAAGAGTTTAAACGATTTCTAGTGTTTCAACTGGGATTATTCCTGGAATCCAACAATGTATATACTACGATCCTTCTTAAAATCGCATAATACTTGTTCTAAGATCGTTCCTAATATATTCCCTAGACTGAAAGGCTAGGGTCTAGAAACCGAAATTCACCTGTGTCTGTCTGTCCGTCTGTCTGTCGGTAATGCGGTCAAAATGGCCATTTTTTTGGCACACGTGACCATTTTTTTGGCACAAACGACCATTTTTATGGCACAAGTGACCATTTTTTTGGCACAAACGTCCATTTTTTGGCGCAAACGACCATTTTTCGGCACAAGTGACCATTTTTATGGCACAAACGATCATTTTTTTTACTAAAATTAACTAGGTAACTATGGTACAAATGAGCATGTAACTATGGCACAAACGGTCATTTTTTTTGGTACAAACGACCACGTAACTATGGCACAGGTGACCATATAGCAACCATGGTACAAACAACTATTCCGGTAACTATGGCACAAATGGCCATCTAAAGACTGATGTAAATGAACCCATAATAATCATGGGTAAAATGTCAATGGAATAACTATAATTCGGGTAGTGGTGTAAAACGGCTTACAAAAGCATTTAATTAGTGAGAGTCAGACCAAATGAGCAGTATGGATTTAAAGAAATCGTTTAAATTATTCATTATTGTAGGATTGATTGTGCAATATTGTATCAAAATGAATATCTAATTTATTAATAGTTTAGAATTAATGCGCGAATTGAAGCATAAAATATTGATTAATAAAACTCAAATTTTATGAATAATATAATTCATATTTTTGTACGTACAAATAGCGCCAATATAATTATAAAAAGATCGTATTGTTGTCTAATCTTATTGGGCGCTATTTATATTTATAAAAGCAAAAAAAAAATAAAACAAAAACGACAAAAAAAATTAGATTTGTAAAATGCATTATCTTTACTTAGAGTGAGAATTCTCCAAATTAAGTTTTCTGCTCGCCTAAGATATACTGGTCATATTATCAATTTTGCGTATTACTTTTTTAATGTAGCTTTTTATGCTATTACATCCGTACATGTATTCTATCAGTCTAGGGCTAAGTGAATCGCTTGACGATGAACGTTACTTGTAGAACTTAATTAAACAAAATTGCAGAATTCACTTGATATATGAAAGTAGAGACTTCCTTATATAGATCGATATCTGTAAAACAAAACGGTGAATGGAATCTGGGCAAAATCGGATTTCCAGATTTTTGATTTTGTGGTTGGAAATTTGTAAAAAGAGGAATATCTAATTAATTAATTGATTAGCTTATTGATCTGTCAGAATATATTCTAACTAGAGGCCCCTGTGCGAAGTCAGAGTTTAAGATTATAGCTAAAATTGATTTAATAAATAATTTGGATTAGCATCGCATGTAAAAAAATTTCGATTATGAATCAAATAAAAAATTGTTTATAATGGCACTATTATAATCTGATCTAATCAGATTTTTCAACTTTAAAAAGACAGAATTCATTTGATTTTTATAAAATGTAGTTTAATCGATCGCTTACAACGACTATAATTATCGATTAAAATCGTTTTAAAACAGATCAAAATCAGATTATTATAATAGTGCCATTATAAGCAGTTTTTAATTTCATTCATTATCGAAAGTTTTTTCATGAGTATTTGGTTTATTAAATATGAAAAAAAATTACTAAAGTTACAAACTCACAAAAATAAACGTATGGAAATCATGAAAAAATTTCTCGGTAACCACATTATCTGCTACTGTTTCCTTAATATATCCGTTTTGCCGTATCTAGTGATATCTTGTACTTTAACTATTAAGCAATTAGATCCCGTTGCTCTTGAGCATCCTGTAGAAAAACTGATTGTGAAAAAAGCAGGATTCTGGAAGATAGAGGTCAAATTTATCGAAGGCTTGACCTTGAGACTTATTGACTCCCATTGCATATGCAAGACGAACTGGAAACTGTTTTCTAACAAAATTTAATGTAAGTGCTGGATCATACGCCGTATTCAAAGAAATTCTAGGATTAAAATGAACAGTTCCAGAAAATGCATCAGTGATAGCTTCCAATTGAAGCACGTTTTGACGAAAGGCTCTAACAATTATTCTAGTTCCATAGCAAAATTATTTGTTTACCGGTAGATTTCTCAAAAGTATTACTGTTTAACCTATTTTTAAATTTAATTTATATACGGTGGTAATTCAGACGGATTTAAAGTATTTAGAAGCTCTACTGAAATATTGACTTGTAAATCATGATTGTCTATACCGTCACTATTTTTTTTACAGAGCCAGTAGCGTAAAAACTCCTTTGTTCAACATTTTTTAATTTTATCAAAACGCGTTCATTGATTAATCGTCAAACTTCGTTTCTTGGGCAGAGAATTGAAATTCTTGAAAAAGCTTTCAATATCAGTACAGGTAAAATTATTACCAAAAACATCGCTAACTATGTCGTTAGATATTAAAGAAATAGGAACTTCAACTGAAAATTGGATTTTAGGTGTTGTTGGTAAAGATATCACACCACCACCGATATAAAATCCGTTTAGAAAAATCAGGATCTGTAACAGCTTGCATATTGCACTGTAATTCGAATGCATGAAACAGAATCAAACAGAAGACTTTTATTGTTGGAGCAATAATGTTGCATCGGGACCCTTTTCTGATAACGCGCAGAATTTATCAAAAATTATCACCTAACACAACAACCTTTCTACAATTTCTTTCACTGTATGTTTTCATGTATTCTTTTCGTGGGTGTGGGTGTGGGTGTGGGGTGTGATGTGTGGGTGTCATTGAAAAAGATCCACACCCACACCCCACACTATCAACGCCCCAACCCACACCCACACCCGCATCCTGAAAACTTATAATGTATTCACGAAAAACTATACTCTTATTGTTTTAAAGTTATTCAAAAAAAAAAAACGCTCACGACCAATTTACTCTGAAATAGGCACTAACATAAAGATATCAGTGCAAATTAAAACATATCGTCATTGAAATATTAACTTTCTTTATTCAAAGATCAAATCAGATCAACCAGATACATTTTTTCATTGTTTTTTTTTTATATCATTGAAGAGATGTTAAATGTCAATTTAAGATTGAAGATAGTTCTCAATGTGATTAGGACATTATCGATTTTATTTATCTATATTGTTAAGATATATTTTGTCTTGCACATTCATCAAGTTATTACTATTTTTTTCTATTAAAAATACAAGTTAACACATTTTTTTTTTGTAAAAGAATCAGCTGTAATATTTCATCTACTTGCAACATCATCATATGTTGTACTACATTCAATTGAAAAAAAAAGATTAAAGATGCAGTACTATAGTCGATAAGTACTGCTAGAAAAAAAATACATTTTTGTGTTTCTTCTTCAATTTTCCGATAAATGATCAAGAAATAAATACTGATGCAGTAATTCAACCGGTAACTGTTCTTACAGCGAATACGGCTTCTATTTCTTTTTCTTGTTTATTAGAAACTAACAATCAGTATTATACGAGAAACAAAATTATTATAAAAACAGAATATAGTATTCAATTTTATAGAATAAATTTTTGTTTAGCTAGTATTTATTTGAACAATAAAAATATTGGAATGAGTAATAATTAAGATACGATATAGCAATAATTTTTGAGCACTTTTATAATATTAAACGTTCAATAATTAATTCATTAAATAGCTGTAGTAATTTCATATTTTAGCAATAACAAAAAAGAAAAGTAAGATATTTTTATTTACAATTGACAAGAAAAAAAGGAAAAAGAAAAATTAATATATTAGTGTATCAACAAAGCTCTTTTTGCTTTAGCTAGTCTCCCTCCTTTTCTTTTAGTATCAATATCCACATCTTTTGCTTCTGGTTGTGGTTACACCATTATCTTTACCTTGTTATCAAGAGACTAGCTACATATTATTGTCATTTTCACTATCAGAAATATGCTGCACTACGTGTTGTGATTGAACCATTTATATAAATTATATATTTAATTTTATAGGATGGAAAAAATACGTATTTATATAAATAAATTCTTAACATAAGAGTTTTCTCATCCACTATTAGAATTGTCCTATTAATCATCGTGCAAATTTCCTTGTGCTTATCTTACACTATATATGAGATTTTTCCAATACTTTCGATATTTATATAACATATATCAATGTTCTCTTCTATGGGAGATCAAATATTAAAAATTCTATTGTCTTCTCAACCTCATTGTTTTTTCTACGTTTTTTCTTATATACCATATTTTAAATGTGTACGAAATAAATCGAACTCATGTAAACACATAACAACAAAAATCATACAATTTACATAAATGAATTCGTATTGCCATTTTTATGTGAAATTTATTTTTAATTTAAATAAACTATTGCTCATTCAATATTAATTATTGCTCATTTTAATTATTGTATTGCTCAACTAAATATAAGTCTTTTTTTTTAATAATATTCGAACACGCTTGTCTTATGACAAAGTATTTAATGAAATAACATTAACTTATCTACTAGTTATAATCAATAATTACATTGGAAATCAACAATGATTAATCGGTAAGTATGCTCTTCGTCGAAAACAAGATCGTCGAAAACTCACATCGCCGACTCGACGTGGAAATTTACCGTAAATTTCCACGTCGAGTCGGCGATGTGAGTTTTCGACAATCTTGTTTTCGGCGAAGAGCATTACATTCGATTAAATATTTATGCGATGCACCCATTTTTCTTTTCAAATACAAAGCATTAATTATTGTTATTTTATTGGTGTCGAGTATTAGGACGACCTTCAATTGTTAATTGAATAATATTCGATTTTATGTCGGATTCATAGCTACTAGTAGTGTCGGGAGATGTGTTCTTCAATGTTTCATCATCGCTGAATATAACACTCTCAGTTGGCCTATAGTATTGAATTGAATAATTACAACTCTTAGTCATATCGTATGCTGGTGATAGTTGAACCAGTGTTTGTATAGTTTTACCAGGTGCTAGAGAAATGACATCTGCATTTGTTGGTGCGCGTCGTTTGATCATTGGACCGACATAATCAACGGTAGCATTATCACAGATTACTTGAAATAGTGGATCACTTAATTCTTTGTCTGGTAAACACCATTTAAAAATATGTAGGATTTCTTTGCCAGTATTGTCATATCGCAACCACACTGATACGACTTGTGTTTTATTATATAAAGAGCGTTCTGAACCAATTGTAACTTTCAAGTCACTTGCAAAGATATTAATCACCATCATGGCAATTGAAATATATAAAACGATATATCGCTTGTTCATAGTAACTCAACGTTTTGTAATGTATTCGTATGTTAGTACTTTGTTTGTGTATAGATACAAAAAAAGACGTAACACTCTCCTTATATACGAGATGAGCTGTGATGCTTTATCAAAGCACAACTATACCACCACTTATGATTAGTTTCTCACATAAATCGTTGTCATTTCTACATGATTTATCAAGGTAATATGAGTCAATTGGAATATAACTTGAAAAAAAGGATAATATTTGCTCGTATTACAATACAAAGGTGATGTGACTAATGTGTAAAATGATCATTGATGCATAGCATAAACAAATTGATTAGAAAGTGCAACGCATAGTATCTCATCAAGCAAGAGATAATAGCCTACAGAGAAAAAAACCAGCTAAGGTAAATGGGAAATTATAATTCGTCATTTGCTCAAGTTACTTAGACTTGGATATTTCATTATTCGAACAAGTGTGATTCATGACATGCCTCAATATCATTCGTCTTATTGGCTATGACTTTTATTAGTTCATTTTTATTTTGAAAATAATCGACTATACAACTCTTCATATTTATGTACATGCTGCGGTTAAGTGAATTCCGTAACCATACTCATACACAGAAAATAGACCCACACCCTGCTAAGTATTCACTGTACTGTGTGTGGCATTTTTGAAACATTAGAGAATTTCTCTGATGATCGAATTAGTCTCAACAAATCTGGTTCATGCAAGAGATGTTAATAAAATTCTGTACAATAGAAATAATTGTTCATCTTAATTTTTAATTCAATACCAGCAAGTTTATTTTTCATTTTGTTTTAAATACTACGCAAACATGTCATGTGACTAAAAATAGGTTCATAAAAGGCATCCGGTGCTTGCGGAGTTAATCTAATCCAAAAAACTGTCTTATTGCTTTTTTTTGTCTTGGCTTTCATTGTTGGTTAAACATATTACTAAGAGCCGATATGAAAAAGACAGAAAAGAAGGAATGAGAAGAAAATCCTGAAAATTAACCCCTGATTCTAGGAGACGTTATCAGCAGGAGAAGGGCTTAAAAATCAGGATTCTTGTGGAAAAATCAAAAGGTTTAGTAACTCCGAGGAGAAAAGTGAAACTTCATCTACTTTAAAGAAAATGTGAAGTACAAGTGAAATATGCATTCTTGAGGTCTCCTTCATCTTGTATTTTCAAAGATACACATGTAGAGCGTATGTGATAGAAGAAGTAATGAAAAAAACTAATTTTATTGAAAAATCAATTGTTTTTCTTTCATATGAAAAAAATAAATTTTTTAGTATTTTGTAAGGATCTTTCAAGTAGTTTCTTGAATGTTTTTGTCTGAGAAAAATGGCTTAAAGGATTCTTAATATATACAATTTTATAGACTTCGACAAGCTCTATCGAATTATATAAAAATATCCCAGAAAAAATTTTACTCCATTTTGTTGAACTACCGCCATCTTGATTTTCTACGCCAAAAAACTGTAAAATTTCTTAGGTTCGACATTAAAAATTTCAATAACCTTTACTATTTAGTATCAGTAGATCTCATTTTCGACGAGCTGTCAGTTGATATAAAATTCATTATATCTTCTATCCGAAATTATGGTGTTTCCCTCTTGGAATAATATTATTTCCAATCCTGTACACAAAGGATAAAATTCTTCATTTTGATAAAATTATCTTTTAAAACTTAATTATTACCCTCATATTTTTATTAATGAATTTTTGAAAATTCGTCATGAAATATTTAATTATCAAAGTTCTATCTGAGTGTGACTATGGATGTAGGGACAGGACAAAGGCCCACACCCATCCATATCATATATATCAAATGTGATATTAGTATCATATAGAAAATCCTTTTACATCCATACTCTACATTATTTCTTGTATTGCATAAAAAAGATTATCGAATGATTCACTATTTGAGTAATTGTTGTTTAACAATGATAATCTTGATAACAAGAAAATGATGATGCTGATATATTTGTGTCATAATTATCTACTTTTTTAATATGATTGTTTGTTCGTGTTTCTTTTTTTTCTTTTATAAACTGTCGTTAATGTCGTCATTCCTGTTCGTCATAGAATAATATAGGTGAGTCTGATTCTCATTTTTCTAGTCGACAACAAAAAGTACTACTCTTGATTTTTTTTTCTGATTGTTTCACTCATTAGACAAATTTAACTATTGTATGTAATATAAATCATAAAGTAATAAATATCTTTTGATGTATCGATATGTATAATATATCAATATTTACTTTTTTCTTGATTCGTTGTTTGCTCATCTCAAGAAAAGAAAATGTTGAAATGATTCATAATGGGAAGCAAAAAAAAATTTTAGATAGATGAAGTCAGCTGATTTATTATGTTTTTATTTTCAAATATTATAGATGGCATCGAACATGACTACAGATATTGAAAATCTTTGTACATTATTCAACAAGCAAACAGATTTAACAACAAAAATAACAAATGATCAACTAGAAACTAAAAATTCATCAGTGTAAATGTTTATTTTTTTTCTTTTATTTAATATTGATGATTTATTTTTAATTAAATAGTTATGTTCAATCACATCGTCCTTTAACTATTTCGATTCTTGCACATTATTTTAGTGTTCAATGTGATGAATTTCTTCGTTTATCTCTAAATCCAAAAATTGAATAAAAATATTCTGATAGTTTAAAAAATTCTTTAATAAAAAAAAACGTGGTATATCATTTGAAGATAGTATAAAATCATATCATTCATCATCAATTTTATCTAATATACATGATGAATATGAATTTTTATCCTATCTTCATTCATCCATATCAAAACCAACTGAATTTCAAATTAGTTATAATATAAAATTTCAATGAAAATATGATAAACATATTTAAAGTTATTATAAACCAGATTTTCTTTTAATTAAATATTTAAATAATTCTGAACATCAAATTGAAATAACAATAGTAGATGCAAAATCTTCACTTCAAATGCGTATTGAACATTGTATTCAAGTAGCATTATATGCAATTGATTTAACAGTTTGGATTAAACAAAATAAACTTGAAAAATATATTTTTATTAATAATATAGGTGAAATTTGGTTACCAAGTAAAAAAAATAATATCATACCATATGAAAAAAAAATTTTTCCTATGAAAAAATTACAAGAAAGACTTAAAAATTTTCTTAAATATGATCTTGAAAAAATATTCAAAAGTAAATTTATAATTACAAAAAAAAATTAATGTTATTTTTTTTTGTTGCTTTAATTATTTAGGTTCTGAATGGATAATGTTACCACGTTGTTCATTTTGTTCATTTGCATCTCATTGTCGTCAACGTGCAATTCATTATGAACCTAAATCAATAAATAATTTATCTTATTTAACACAGTCAACTCATTTATTAATTCAATCATTTTTTCATTCATCATTATTTTCATCAATTAATATTCAATTTATTCTTGATCATTCAAATAATAATGAATATTATTTAGATGATAAAATAAAATTACAAAAAATTTTATCTATAAATACAGAAAATAAAACAAGTACTGTAATTCATGCACTTCAAACACATGAACCACAATTAAAACAACAATTATCATCACTTTTAATACCAAAAAAAAATAATGATTTAATTCTTCTTTTTATTTTCTTAATACCGGATCCATTTCAATTACATTCTGTTGCTCTACTTGCTTATAATATATATGATATTTCTAATCAATCATGGTTTTTTTTTCAACCTATAATTCAAATAAATCCATCATCATCTCAAATTATTTCAATTATTACTCAAGCATTAGAAAAATTAAGTCAACAATTTCAACGTCCATGTCAAATAATTCTATTTGATGAACAAGAACGAACTGTTCTATTTGAACAATTAACATTTGCATCTGATAATGAACAAATTGAACAATGTCTTATTTTATTACAATCATCAGAAAATGCTATTTTATTGAATTATCCACCTGATATTATTCAAACGGATCGTTTATTTCGTTCACATCCATTATCAAATATATCAAAAGATGAAATAAAAAAAGAATTATATGAACGTTATGGTTCATCAGATAATAATAATAAAAAATCTACAAAAGCAGAATTAGTTCAAGAATTAAAACAATTAAATGAAAAAGAACAAGAAAAAGCAAGACAAACTCTTATTGGATTACCTTGTCTCATTTGTTTACATACAGGTATTTTTATCCTAGAAAAATAACTAATACTAGTAGTTGTTTTTTTTCTTTTTGTTAGCTATTTGTCAATCATTTGTTATTCCAATACCAGGATATTTCGATCTCGAAGATTTGAAACGTTCATTGAAAATACCCTTAACTTCATGTAGTCTCAATGAAATATTTGAGTCTACTAACTCTGCAGGTAATATTTATTCAAAAGCACATAGAGATCTATACTTTTCAGTAGTTCAAAATGGACATTTACTTTAATATCTATTCAATAGAGAGAATCAAGCTCTTTTGATTTATACGAGACAACAGTTTTGCATAGATCGATCGTTCTAGGGATGTACCGAGACTCTCGATGCGGGTAGTCTCTGTCGAAAAACTGAAAAAATAATAATTTCGACCGAGAGTGAATACAATGCTTACCTAGGATAAAGAACGAATAAGAAGTGAATTGTACTCGAGACCAATATTCATTAACACCGAGACCAACGCTAACTGAGACCGAGACTCTCAACTGAGACTAACCGAGACCGAGAGGCTCGGTGTGGGTATTCTTTTCCTGTCATTAGAAAACTATAAATCGTTTATACTCGAGTTATTCGAATTCATTATAATATTATTTATTGTTTTTTTTTTTTGTATTCATTTAATAGAAATTGCTAATCGTGTTCAAGAACGTTTGAATGTTCTTGCTCATCTTTATTTAATTGTTCAACATCGTCTTTCAGAATCAAATCTTCTTCAATTAGATGTTTGTTTATTACCAAATATAACACCCATAAAAAGTTCTCATTTACATATTCGTCGTTTAATTTTTTTACGACAATATGAAATGTTACATACATTACGTTCAATTCAAGAAACACGTTTTGATTTAAATGAACCACCTATTCTTATTCGAATATTAACTAAAATACCTATTGATAAATATAATAATTTATGGAAGTGTCAAATTGAACGTGGTCATGAAATAATTTCAAAAAATTTAACTGAAAATATAACAAATAAAAATAATTTTCATACATATCCATATTTAATTTCAAAAGATAAATATTCAATTCGAACATTTCCTGATGCTATTTATATGGATTTAGCTATTGATGGAATTCGTTCTCATATTAAACTTGATCAATGTGGTCTAGTTCATGTTGAACAAAAAGAACAAGAAGATTCGATATTTATTCGTATTAAACTTTGTAATTTTTCTCTTGAAATTAATCATCAATATTATTTAAGTGAACGTTATATAGATTTTAATACAAAGAAAGCTATTCAAGCATTAGAACAAACAACTCAATTAACTATACAAATATTAGATGATCCTAGACAATTAAAAAAGTCTGAATTAATTCAAAAAACAAATAAAATAATGCAACGAGAAATATCAAATATGTTTTCCAAACGAGAACCAACAATTAAACCTGAAGGTTTACATATGCTCAATAAAGCACAACAACAAGCATGTGAAAAAGTCAAAAATGAACGTATTACTCTCATTTGGGGTCCACCGGGTAAGAATACTGGTTTTTTTTTCTTCTTTTATTCAACTGATTAAGACAAAATATTCCATCATCTTATCTGAAATATAAAGAAAATCAAATAGAGATTTAGTATAGCATTATTTTGATCTGTTTTTGCAAAAAGAAAATTTTATGAGGTCGAAAATTCTTCGTGATAATCTTTGACATTATCCATTTTAATATTATTTTTTATAGGTACTGGCAAAACCTATTGGTCAGGTGTTACTGTTTTTCAAATGTTAATGTTTTCATCTTCACCATTACATGTATTAATTACAGCTTGTACACATACAGCAATCGATAATCTTCTATCATCAATTAATCATTTGAAAAATCTATTTTCTTCATCACCACAATTTTCTCAATGGTATCAATTAGCTCAAGAATTAATTGTATTAAAAATTGAATCAAATAATTATCGTACTCTTTCATCTTCATATGGTAAACATCATCTAGTTGTTGGTTCAACAGTATGGACATTACAAAAACTTGATCGTTCAATTGTTTTTGATATTATATTTATTGATGAAGCAACACAATTATTAACAAGTGATGCTATATTAGCTTTGAATCGTTTAGTTGATCATCAAGAATCACGATTAATTGTTGCAGGTGATCCATTACAATTACCACCTATTAAACGTTGTATTTATCCATCTTTACCTCATCCTATACCTGATTTATTTTCATCGATTTTTCATTGTTTATTACGTGATGAAAATAATTTTCCAATATCATTACATACTGAAAAACCATTTGAACAAATTCAACGTTGTCCATATTTATCTATTTTTAATGAAAATCATCGTAAGTTTATTTAATTATTTCATGGTTTTTTTTAAAATTTATCATTATTAATTATTATTTATATTAGGTATGAATGATCAATTATCAGATTTTACTCGTCTTTTATATGGTGAAAATTATCGTCAAGGTCGTTCAAGACCTTTACTTTCTATTAGTTCTATTAATGATTCAAATACATATCTTCTTGGTACACTTCTTAAACCTTCTAATTCTCTTTATACACTTCTTGTTGATTCATCATCATTTTCAACTCGTAGCGAAGATCTTGATCTTGAATCACATCTTGTTTATTCTCTTATTAATGAACTTGTTTTACGTATATCACTTTCATCAATATTTATTATAACACCACATCGTATGCAACGTTCTTCTATTCAACAAAAATTTAAGAATAATCTATTTTCAAATATTCAAATAACATGTGATACAGTCGAAAGAATGCAAGGTAAAGAAGCTCAATGTGTTATACTTTGTATGTTATATAGACAAAATGAAATACTTGAAAATGAATTAGATTTTATTTATAATCGACAAAGAATTAATGTTAGTATAACACGTGCACAACAATTATGTATTCTTATAACATCTCAATTATTATTTAATCAACCTCCATTAGAATTATTTGTTAATGATAATACAAGAAATGCTTATACTTTATTAAATAATTATATTGATAAATCTACTATACGATTATTAGATAATCATGGTAATATTAAATAAATTCTTTTACAA